TTGCCATACTGTCACCAGCCGCACGCAGCCTTTGACCGCGCGCTGACAGGCCTTGAAAGAGATCAAATAAAGTTCAGTTCAGCTTCAGATGGACTACTGCCAGGAAGTGATCCATCGCACAAAATGTTCATTCAGCCTCTGAACTCAGCGGATGCGCATGGCCGACGACCCGAACAGGTGAGATCACAAAATATTCGACATGTCAGAGCAGGATGAGGCAGAAGCAGGGGAAGCACTTAATGCGCTGGACAGCCATGAAAGGACAAACACCCCCTCAGCTCCGATCTTCTGCCCCCTTTACTCAGCCGTGCACATCAGCCGACCGTTAACTATAAAAGCAGTCAAAGCTTAGTTAAAAATGTCGGGGGGCGTTCGGGCCTGTCATTACTGTTAATTCGTTGGATTGGGTGGGGTTCGGAAATGATGGCTATGGGCTGGGGCCGGACCGGATTTTTTGGACCTGAATGCAACTCTACAGTTCAGTTTCAGAAATGAGGTAGAACGACAACAAAAGTCAAGAACTGTAAAAAATAAACCTTCAGCTCTACTTGGATCTCAAACTCTGCCAGGAACAAACACCAGAGGAACAAGCTGATGTCCCGTCGCTGAGGGATTTGAATGTTGACCGTTTCTACTGTTGGGCGAGTGGTTTTCTGGACAAGAACAGGGAATGCAAGTCAACCTTGATGTTTTTGGTGCAAGATATTCAATGACGGAACCAGGGGGTGGTTAATGGTGGCCTTGGTCATCATAGATGAGCTTTAATTTGAGGAAACTATAATTTTGGGCAATATAAAAACTAGAAAGCATAAGGGTGGCTTCTGGGTAATACCAGATGGCTAGGCCTCAGACTGACGAAGCCTCTTGGATGAGGGGCGAAACGTTTCTTTTTAACAAAAAACGAAGTCCAGATGACATGATTCAACCTTTTTTTGTTGTTAGAAAGCATAGTTTTCTCAAATTATTTCCTCACATTATATACAGTGGAGGCCATCTTGGATTTTGTCTAATTTAGCCACACACCAAAATAGAAGTCGGCACGTTGCTGATTTTTCAAGTTTTCCAGCTCACAACATATTTACATATATGGCAGCAGCCATCTTGGATTTTGACGTAGCAGCCCAATTTTTGAAAGTGACCGTTCTTGTGTCTAGATGTGGTTACACACCAAAGTGGAAGTCAATACCTCACCTATTTTTTTTCATGCTAAAAACATACACGGACAGATGGAGGATTTTTCCAACTCCCCCTTCTGTGATGGGGGACAAAAAGTGGGTGCTGAGCATAAATTTAAAAGTCTCAACAGTGCAGTCTGTTTATGAAAAATAAAACATTTCACAGATTTGGAGCATCGTCCATCCAGTCCATCACAGGGACACCTGGACAGGGCTCTAGTCCATCACAGGGGCACCTGGACAGGTCTCCAGTCCATCACAGGGACACCTGGACAGGTCT